GAGTTTTGTAGTTGATTTCCTGGGGTTTTCCAGATATATAATCATATCGTCTGCAAAGAGTGACAGTTTGATCTCCTCTGGGCCTATTTGGATCCCCTTGATTGCCTTCTCTTGCCTGATTGTGGTGGCTAAGACTTCCATTACAATATTAAAAAGCAGTGAAGACAGTGGGCATTATTGCCTGGTTCCTGATCTGAGTGGAAATGATTTGAATTTTACTCCATTCATTATGATATTGGCTGTGGTTTTGTTGTAGATGGCCTTTATCAGTTTAAGAAATGTTCCTTTCTATACCTATTTTCTTAAGCATTCTGATCAAGAAAGGATGCTGGATATTGTCAAAAGATTTTTCTGCATCAATTGAGAGAATCATACGGTCTTTGTTTTTTCATTTGTTTATGTGATGTATTATATTTATGGATTTACCTATGTTGAACCATCCTTGGAACCCTGGGATGAAACCCACCTGGTTGGGTTGTATAATTTGTTTGATGTGTTGTTGCCAAAAATCTATCTGAAAGGAAAGACATTTCATAAAGTGAAACATGGAGACTTAGCATTTGAGACATGGGTTTTAGAATATAAAAGGCATTTGGTAATCACAGTATTTCTAGAAGGAATTTTGATTCAGATTGTTGTTAGGTAAATCAGGAAAGTAAGTTGGAACGGACAGAAATGCTATAGATGATTCCGGATAAATTTGAATTTATCTGTGTGCTATTTGTAATCAATTCTCATATTCCTTTTAGTGATTCTTTTTAAGGAAGCATCTACATATATTTGTAGTAATAATTGCCATAATTAGGTGTAGGTTTACTTTGGACATTAAAACTGAAAGATTATTACCTTATACTAATGGAATATTTCCATGTAGTTCTTTGTAATTCACCCAGTACTTTTACATGCAGTGTCTCACTAGTGTGCCACGATGGTGGCAAATGGCTTGTTCAGGGTGATAGAAGTAGTAAGTTATAGGACTCAAGACTTTAAGTGATGCTTCTTGATTCTAAGCACCTTTATTCTTATAATAAGCAAAATCCTGGCTAGAGAAAATCTAGCTTATTAATATTCTACACTTTATGCAGTTACTGCTCTTCACACTTATTGATAGAGGTAAAAGCTATCTACCAAATTAAAATTGTGGCTTTAAACATAGGTAATCTCAACTTTCTGGTTGTCTTTTTGAAAGCAGAACTCTCCTTCTATGTCCAGTTATTTTGAACCCAGCATTGGCAAACTTTGTGTAAGAAAGGCTATCTAGTAAATATTAGACACCATGGGCTCTATGGTCTCTGTTGTAATATTCAACTCTGCTGTTGTGATGTGAAAGCAGCCGTAAATAACACAACATAGATGAGCCTGGCTGGATTTCAATAACATTTTATTTATAAAGGTAAAATTCAAATGTTATATAATTTCCATGTGTCATAAATACTCTTCTTTTGATTTTTTTTTAAGTATTTAAAATGTAAAACCATTCTTAGCCCATAAGCCATTATCAAAACAAGTGGCAGACTGCACTTGACCTGTAGGTCTCAGTTTGCCAACTCCTGTTTTAGACAGAGAGGAAAGGGAAGGAATTCACTCCTGGCTAGAGTAGGGAGGCAGGAAGGTGATGGTCTGTGTACCGAAGATTCTGTGGTTAAAACTGAGGTAGCCGGTTCTTCCCAATGATGTCTTTTAATTTTGATCTGTTTCATTCTGTTTCTTCAAAAGTTGGTGACTTTGCTTCATTTCCACATCTCCTAGTGAGACATCTTATAAGTAGCGATCATGTGGTTTTACCAAATGACAGTGGTACACTCAGTGTGGCCAAAAAGGTGTTTTGATTTGTTCTGTGTCCCGTGTTCAAAGTGTATCCTGCAATTATTCCCTATGTGAGGTTCAGCTCTGCATGAACTGGTGTATTTCTCCCACAGCTTCAAGTCTGGAGGTAAATAGGCAGCATTCATGAATCACATACTTGTTACTAAGCAGTGAGGAGACAGAAATCCTGTTCCTGTCATCTGGAATTGAAGAAGGGCAAAAACTATGCTTTTTACATCCTAATAAGTAAACGTCATCGTGTCCATGAATACACATGCTTTTACAGATGGTCAAAGACTGTGGTTTTCTAGTTGGCGTTCTATCACCAAACGGCCTCCAGAAGATGATTTTCTTTTCTTTCTTTTTTTTTTTTTTTTAAGACAGTCACTTACCAATGGAGGGAGGGGGGCAGTCAGGGATGGGATGGTTTGTTTTCCCATGTCCCTGACACCACCCCCATAGGTTTGTGACTATTCAAGCTCTTAAATCCACTTGTAACAAACTTTCCCAAGAGATTTCTGAGCTTTCACTTCTGACATAGTTAAACTCACTGCAAACAATCTCTCTCAGAGAACTTCTGGCACTTTTTGCTTCGAGAAGCTGGGAGTGGTGAGGACCAATTTAAATACGTAGAACCTCAGAAATTTGGTTTTAGTTTAGTTTCAAATAGGCAGCGCCTCTGGCCTGCTTGTGCTTGTAAGCAGGCAGAGTTATTTGAATATTAACTCTGGGTTGCTCCCTTCCTGTTGTTTTTAGGCTTATTATAGCTTTCTGGTTTTACCTTTTCCAGCTTGAGTCAACAGAGGTAGGTGTGGCCATAAGTTCAGGATGCTGGATTCTAAAGATGGGTTGGATTTCTGCCTTCACCGCCCTCTACCCTCATCACAGACCTCCTGCCCAGCTTCTAGCCATATACAAACCAGGGACAAACAAGGCATGGCAGAGGCAAAACATGCCTCTTGGAGGAATGTGTCTGGGCTCCAGAGACTTGGCATACTTGGATACAAACCCAAGTGTTAGTAACATCCTATTTTGTATAACGAAAAACTAACGCCTAGCGTCTACCTAATTTTTTTTCTTAAAATAAGTAAGGTTATGTTAAAACTAAATGGAACCACACACACAAAAAATGAGATTTTGTTTAGAAAATGAGCATAACAAAATAAAAATTTCAGACATTAATCTCAAAGTTGCTATAGTTTTGCTAAAGGGGTAAGTTCACTTTTTATAATTTGATTCTGTATGTCTTAAATTTTTTTTTTTTTTTTTTTGCAGTTTTTGGCCAGGGCTGGGTTTGAACCTGCCACCTCTGGCATATGGGGCCAGTGCCCTACTCCTTTGAGCCACAGGCGCCACCCTGTATGTCTTCAGTTTTAATAGTGCATTTAAATTGCTATTTTTACTGGAATTCTTTGTTAACATCAAACCTTTTCAGAAGAAAAGCTATTAGTAAAATTGAGACACTTTTTTAAAATGTTGAGATTCTTTAATTAATAATTAATACCTAAAGTCCCCTTTAATCGAGATACGATTACTTCTACAAACTGATTTATTTCTTTTTATAATTATTATTTTAAAATGGTACATCAAATCCTCTACTTTTGTAGAGAAGTTTAGAGAACTTTTAAGATACTTACTTTCGATAAAATCAGAGTATGAACGTTTTAACTCAATAACTAAGAAAATGAGATGAAGGTTATGTTAACCAGTTTGAGAGTATTTCAAAATCTATATGAAACAGCACACTGGACCCCATGATTGCATTAATGTACACAATTATGCTATAAGAAATAATAAAAAAAATAAAGAAAAGAAAAGAAATTGGTTAATTCTTGATCCAATCCAACCAGCATAGACAGACTTGATGGCAGAATAATGGCTGATCAGTTTATGTTTGCTAGGGTGTTGCTGCATTTAGCAAAAAAGTATACTATATTCAGTTTAGTAAAATGTTGTAGTGAGAGAGGATATTTTTTCCTGTTTCTTTTCTACATCTGATTTTTCTCTGCTCCTGCGGAGGAAATGCCAGGTATTACACACCTGGTCTTTACCCACTGTGTTATTTCTTCTTTTTCAATAGAAGAGGAATACCTTATATGAGTAGTGAGTATGGAAGGAACAATAGGAAGCCTGGCACTTTCTCTCTTTCTTCCAGGGGGTGGGCTACCCCCGGAAGCATGCAGCAGCCACACCTATTGAAAGGGTATATACTATACTGTACCTGCAGGAGGAGGCTAGTTGCACTTAGAGCCTATCTGGAATTTAGTAAGATGTCCAAAACAGGGGAACAGAATGATGACGCCACTTCTCTGCAGATACTATGTATAAGCCCTCTCCTCTATATCAGCTTACAAGTTTATGGGTTTTGATAGTTTGGTTTTGCGTCTGCTTTATTCTTGTGTTTAATTTTTCAATTGACTTAGAGATCATGCTGGCAAGAAAAGCACTAATTATAATCCTGCATCACTTAATAGAAATGTCTATAAAAGGTGCACAGGCATCAACTACCTGCAATAATTTTCCAGATGTTGTTCGTTTGGGTTCAGTATTGCTTTTCTCTTGGCCTATAGAAAGATTGTTTTCAAAAGCAATAATTGGTGGGGCAGTGCTTGTGGCTCAAAGGAGTAGGGCACTGGCCACATATACTGGAGGTGGTGGGTTCAAACCTGGCCCCAGCCAAAAACTGCAAAAAAAAAAAAAGGCAATAATTGGGCATCTCTAGAATAGCTTGAAGTGATTTGCTTGTACTAGTTGAACACTTAGTGCTTTAGAATAAAAGATGCTTTAAAGGCCTTTAAACATCTTTAAAATCTTTAGAGCTAGCTCCTTTCATGAAGTCATTTGCTAAGCTCAGACCATGTGTACATCTTGTTTTGGAATTAAACCAACATCCTTAGAAGAATTGCTCTTCTTTTATTCACCGCATTGAAATGGGAGGAAAACCACTGTTAAACAAAATCTCCCTCTCTTAATAATTTGGTAAGATCTTCTTGTCATTTAGATCTGAGGGAAAGTTGCCTTATTTAAGGCAGACACCTAGAGTGACCAACAATTCTGGTTTGCCAGGGGTACAACCTGGGACACGAGATTTTCATCGCCAGAATTGGGAACCTCCATGGCAAATTGGGGTGGGCCGGCCACCCCAGCAGTCATACCTAGCACATCACACTCATTTGCCCCTTTCTTGTTTGCAGGTTTGTGATTCAGATACCATGCTTGACCCTGCCTCCTCTGTGGAGATGGTCAAAGTTTTAGAAGAAGATCCCATGGTTGGAGGTGTCGGGGGAGATGTCCAGGTAAGCATAGCTCTATATTTCTTGTGAGACACTTTTAATAACACTCTGATTCATTGATTCCTTGAACATATATTTACTACATACTGACTGTGCCAGGTATTGTTCTTGATGTTGGAGACACACATTAGAATTTGCCTTGGATCCAGATTACTGCTGCTTTTACTACTAAATTGGAATGATTTAGGGTTTCTTTGCTTTAGTCCTGGGGGATAACCCATGTCTGTAGAGGTCGATAAGTTATATGCAACGTACCTGTGCAATGATTTTTATCATATGTTCTTGGATAACTTAACATTTCATATTCTGCTCAATTCTGATGTTGGTGTTTAGTTACAATGGTAAAGAAATGGAACTATGGTAGGGAATATATTATATATGTCATGTCTATATATATATGTTATAACAATATTATAACACAACAATAACGATAAGAAATAAAAGTATATTTATATACTTGTTAATCTATGGTTGGTCAAAAATCCAAACTGAAAAACAGGAAGAAAAGTAAAAAACAACTCAAATTTATACTAGTGAGAAAGGGAAAAAAAAAACAACAAATATCAGTGGATTTTCCAGTATGACCATCATTTGCTATTAATGGAAAAAGATTCAGAGAAACAAAATTATTTTTTAAATTTTAGACTACTATGAAGGTAGTTTGACATTTGCGGAATGGAAAAACAAATATGTGAGGATATGTCAAAATTAAAATGAATCCCTTGAAACATGGGGCTAGATTTTAGCAAAAGGTAAGAAGCACACGGAGAATTGACTTTAAACTTTAGACATGGTGGTGTTGCATGTCGCATTTTGTATATGCAGGTTGATAGTGAAGGTAAGGAAATTGAATTTGAAATGACAAAGACATAGCCTGGTGACAAAAAAAAAAAAAAAAAAAAAAAAGGGAGGCATGCAAAATCTAGGTAAATACTGAACAAAATTGAGATAGAGGAGAGAGTTTAGAAATATTTCCAAGAGAAAAACCAAAAAGGTTTTGGTAGCCTTTATACAAAGCCTTATTTTGGGATTCAAGTTTTGCTGGGAGACGAGACCAGACTCTTTTATCACTGGCCTGTGTGAAGAAAGAAGAAGGAAAACCAGCAGCTAATTTTCCTGGATGAGTTGGAACCAGAACAGAAGGGACTAGTACTTAAAAACATTGAAATCTTAGATGGTAGGAAAGAGTGCTTGGGAGAATAATTTGGGAACTGAGAACTAAAACCTAAAAACATCAATATTGTAACACACCAAGGACAAGAATTAAAAAAATAGCAAAAGGTTTGGCGCCTGTAGCTCAGTGGCTAGGACGCCAGCCACACACCCTGGAGCTGGAGGGTTCGAACCCAGCTGGGCCTGCCAAACAACAATGACAACTGCAACAAAAAACAGCCGGGTGTTGGCGGGTGCCTGTAGTCCCAGCTACTTGGGAGGCTGAGGCAAGAAAATTGCTTAAGTCTAAGAATTTGAAGTTGCTGTGAGCTGTGACACCATAGCACTCTACCAGGCAGACAGCTTGAGACACTGCCTTAAAAAAAAAAAAAGGCAAAAAAAGGACAGAAGTATAAAAAAAAATTCATCATCAAAGAATCCCACAGATGCACACACCATCTTCACAAATCAATCCAATAACACAAAATCAAAGATAAATAGGATAAAGTAACAAATCTCACTTTCAGTTTTGTTGGTGTTCTTATCTAAAGCTTGTGTTTTTTTCCTTCCTGCAGATTTTAAACAAGTACGATTCCTGGATCTCCTTCCTCAGCAGTGTGAGATACTGGATGGCTTTCAACATAGAAAGGGCCTGTCAGTCTTATTTTGGGTGCGTCCAGTGCATCAGTGGACCTCTGGGAATGTACAGAAACTCCTTGCTGCATGAGTTTGTGGAAGATTGGTATAATCAGGAATTTATGGGCAACCAATGTAGTTTTGGGGATGACAGGCATCTAACCAACCGGGTGCTGAGCCTGGGCTATGCCACAAAATACACAGCTCGATCCAAGTGCCTCACTGAAACACCCATAGAATATCTCAGATGGCTCAACCAGCAGACGCGTTGGAGCAAGTCGTACTTCCGGGAGTGGCTGTACAACGCCATGTGGTTCCACAAACACCACTTGTGGATGACCTACGAAGCGGTGATCACTGGATTCTTTCCTTTCTTCCTCATTGCCACAGTAATCCAGCTCTTCTACCGAGGGAAAATTTGGAACATCCTCCTCTTCCTGTTAACTGTCCAGCTAGTAGGTCTCATCAAATCATCTTTTGCCAGCTGCCTTAGAGGAAATATCGTCATGGTCTTCATGTCTCTCTACTCGGTGTTATACATGTCCAGTTTACTTCCCGCCAAGATGTTTGCCATCGCAACCATAAACAAAGCTGGGTGGGGCACGTCAGGAAGGAAGACCATTGTGGTCAATTTCATAGGACTCATCCCAGTGTCAGTTTGGTTTACAATCCTCCTGGGTGGTGTGATTTTCACCATCTATAAGGAATCTAAAAAGCCATTTTCAGAATCCAAACAGACAGTCCTAATCGTTGGAACGTTGCTGTATGCATGCTACTGGGTCATGCTTTTGACGCTGTATGTGGTTCTAATCAATAAGTGTGGCAGGCGGAAGAAGGCGCAACAGTACGACATGGTGCTCGATGTATGATCCAACACAGCTGGACGCTTGCAGTCACTTACACCACCGTAGTTTCTGGAGGGGACGTTCAGTGTTGTGGCATCAGGCAATGCCACCAAAAGGAGACATATCACTGCTGCTGGGACTTGAACAAAGACATTTCTATGGGTTTATTTTCATTCTGCCAAAGTAAAACAAAACATCAACAAGAAGAATCTCAGATTTAACCTGTTATCTCTAGGAAAATGGGATAAATTCTTTGTTTATGCACTTTTTCTTTACTGTACGTCCGCCTGAAAGTGTGTTGTCCTATATACCTCACTAGCCATGCTTTATGTGGGTTATCATGGAGGAAAAAGGTTTTGGAAACTCAAGGAAAAGTTCTTACAACCTGTACAACCTAACTTATGGACTGTTTTGATAATTTTTTTTTTTTTTAGGAAGGATTTTCTTTTTAACTTTACCAAATGAAATGCCAAAGGAAATTTTACAGCCCGTGGGCTGTGCTGTATTTTGATATAATTGTACTGTGTTTTTAAATTTTGTATGCCAATTTTTTAAAAAAAATTTACATATTCTATATTTTACTTCTCTGCCAAAACACACCTGTCCTTCCCTTTTTTAAAAAATAAAATAAGTTCTGAAAAGATGAATACTTATAAAACTTGCCCAAAATGTGAAACTTGGTTGACTGATGTTCACGATAGAAAGAATAAAATGTGTGTCTCTCTCTCTACCTTTAAAAATCGAATAGTTTATTTCTGTGAAGACAAATTATTTAAACTTTTCAATATTTTCACTTTTGCTTTCATTTCTGTTAGAAAAGGCCAATATACCCATCACACCTTGGGAATAAAAATACATACTTTCATGTGTACAAAAAAAAAAAATCATTGAAAATCAAGGCCAAAAGGGAAGAGAAGTGCAATTTCTCGTAAGATTAAAAAAAAATAAAAGGAAATGTCAGTTCTTGAAAGACAAAAAGTAGACATCTAGCACTGAACAAGCCATGAGGATCAAAACAAACAAGAATCATCTTTGGAGGTTCTCAGTGCTTTCCCAGGCCAAGAAAGAAAACAAAAGAATTTTCTGTGTAATTTTCCAGTGTAATGCCGTTCATCAAAGCTTTGGTTCTGTGGCCTGAATTCACCAGATCCTATCTAGATATTGAACACGTTTCCGCTGTCTTATTTTTCAGCTTGCCATTTCACTTTACATGTTGAATGATGTTTACACACGTGAGTTGAAAAAATTATAAGTGTAAAATATATAGATTCAAAATGGGCAGATTTATGCTGAAAATGTCCTCTTTTACTTTCAAGGGGGGGAGGATTTTTTATTTCCTGAATTATGCAGATCGTTGCTTCATCTCCTCTGTTCTGGGCCTGAACAAAATCATCTACACAGTGGACATGACACGTGCATTAAGACTCCATAAGTCTCGAGAATTGGCACATATAAAAATAGAGGCTCGGGGGGACTCTGAACTCAGTTACTTTAGTTACTACAGGGCCTCAGGCATCCAGTTTGGCTTTTTACACAATCGATGTTGCCTTGTAGCCGGTGCTGTGTAGACAGGTGTTAAAAACACGATCCAAATATAGGAAGAAAGGAATAACCAGCGTTGCGGTGAAGCGACACGCAGGCAGAAGTGCTGAACGTGTTTCTCGCCTTTCTGCTCTTTCAGGCAGTCATCTGTGTTACATCTATCCTGCCTAAGAAAAAGCCGCACGTTCTACCTTCAGAACACAAAAAGGTCTAGAACATTCTGAAACGCAGGCTCTCACCGACTAGGGAGCTTGTGGGAAACGAACACACCATGCCAATAAATGAAACTAAAACTTGAGTTTGCCTTTTTAACTATTTATGTTCTAAGTTAAGCTTTGATAACATTCAAATGTCAAATCCTCTCATTCTTATAAAAAGTTGAATTAATTGCCTGTATTTATTTTAGCAATTATTCCATGTATTTCCAGTATAGGATGTATAGTATAATTAATTTTTTTTGTAAATAAAATATTTTTGATAAGATTATTGCCTTTTTTTCCTAAGGGAAGGGGGAACTTACTTTTCCTGATTGTAATGGTATGGATTTATTTAAGAATGGGGTTTATCAAAAAGAAAATCAGGGTTGGTAAAAGGTAATATCATTTAATAGTACTTTTCTTTAGGTAGAGATCCCCCAAACTGATGTGGTTTGGAAATCCAGAAAGCCAGAGGGAAGAAAGAGTAAGAGAGAGGAGGAGAGAGAGAAAGGGGAGAAAGAGAAGAGAGAAAGGGGGAGACACTGTCTTGATTTCATTACTGTTGTCTCTGATCTTCACTTTATTCCACAAAATTTAGACAAAAGTTTTATTATAACTTCTAACTTAGACAAAAATTTTATTATAATTTACCAGCAGGAAGGAAATCACCCATATGCAGAAAAATGACAAGCAAGTTTATTATAGCATTATTTACAAAAAAACAAAACCTTAAAGCTGAATAATGAGGAGAGTAATTAAGTGAATTTTGGTACATGCAAGCTGTGGAACATCATTAGCCATAGAACAAATGTTCTCAAAGAATACAGTATATGGGGATGTTAGAGAAATATATATTAAAAATAACCATTTTGTACGGTAACATTCCAACTTTGTAAAAACATATCTAAATGTAATTAACTCTAGTGCTGGGATTGTCATCAATTTATATTCTGTATACATTCTGTTTTCTCCGAATATAAACGTGTTGTTTTTAGAATTAGAAAAAGGACAATAAAGATTTTAAAAGTGGGCTGGCACATCTACTGGCAGTTCCTGGTTTGAGGAACTTTGACAGTAATTACCTCACTTCACCACTCATCCCTTAAATCCATCTTATTTAAGAACTAATGTTTTGGCTCAGCGCCTGTGGCTTAAGTGGCTAAGGCACCAGCCACATACACCTGAGCTGGCAGGTTCAAATCCAGCCTGGGCCCGCCAAACAACAGTGATGGCTACAACCAAAAAATAGCTGCATGTTGTGGCGGGTGCCTGTAGTCCCAGCTACTTGGGAGGCGGAGACAGGAGAATCACTTAAGCCCAGGAGTTGAAGGTTGCTGTTTGCTGTGATACCATAGCACTCTACCTAGGGTGACAGCTGGAGGCTCTGTCTCAAAAAAAAAAATGTTTTTATTTTTCATCTAAGAATCCCTCATGACTTTTGTACCATTATATTAAAACTATAGCCACTGGACATCAATGCTGTGGTAGATAAGAGAAATATTGAGATATATCTAGACCAAATAATTCACTGATAAAGTCACTTGGTAATCTACAGCATAGATAACCTATAGTACAGTAAGCTACATAGTATACGTTTTGCAGTATAGCTAATCTGTAGATAATAAGCCATATGCCATACACTTTAGGCTTTCCTGGCCATATAGTTTGCCACATCAATCCTCAACTGTGCTGTCATAGCACAAGAGCATCCATAGGTAACAAAGATAAGTGTGTGGCTGTGTCCCAATAACACTAATATTTGAATTTTATATAATTTTCAATTGAAAAATTTATTCCTCTGCTAATTTTTAACTATTTTAAAAATAAAAAAGGCAAGCGGTGCCTCTGGCTCAAAGGAGTAGGGCGCTGGCCCCATATGCCAGAGGTGGTAGGTTCAAACCCAGCCCTGGCCAAAAACTGCAAATAAAATAAAATAAAATAAAATAAAATAAAATAAAATAAAGTACAAAAGGTATTAAAACAGTCAATGAGCCTGACTGATCCTGCTGGCATCAGTTTAGTGACTCCTGACCTTTAGGAATCTGTTGATCTATTTGTGCTATTTACTACTCACACGGATACCTCATTTCTGAGTACATCATATCCTCCAGGCACTTTCAGAAGCATGTTTTATAGATCAGCCTTTTTCGTTATCCCATCAGTCCCAAGAAGTTCCATTCTTGCTGCCATTTTAAATGCCAGAATGCTGAAGGTTAAAGAAGTGTGGAAAATGAAGGTCACAAGGAAGTAAATCACGGTGGTCGATAGTGCTACTCAGTGTTTGGTCCACTGTCCAGCAGCATCAGCAACATCTGGGGATGTTACAGAAATGCAAATTCATGACCATATCCCAGACCTAGTAAATCAAAATCCCGGGGGCATCTGTTTAGTAAGCTCTCAGGTGGCTTTTATGAGCAGCCATGTTGGAGAAACCTTGCCCTAACCCAGGGTCTCCTGTTGTTCCCCTCTCTCACTTGTAACATAGCTATTCATACAAATATTTGTACACCTACTGAAATTTTATAAGAATTTCATTTATGGGCATTGGCAGATTTCAGTTTTAATAAAGTTTATGAAGTACCTGTTAAGGGCAATAAGTGAAGAGGTATACATTTTCTCTATACTCAAAAGAGTTTACAATTAGGAGGGATGGAATAATTACACAAAGATTTGATGTGAAACAGAATAATAGAGGTATAAAGAGTGGCATGAGACATAACAAGAAGGAGTAAGCATTAGCTCCACAAAGGCATGCTTTAAGGTAGTGTGGTATTAGAGAGGATTCTTTAAAAACATACAAATTTGAATGGGAAGTAAGGACTTCCCTGGTGAAAGAAATAATGGAAGTACAGTGCTAGAGGTATGATTTTATTCATATGTGGTCCTTTGAACAGAATCAATACCTTTAATTAAGATGTAGGTTGTATTCAACAAGAGTTGAGTCATTACAGAAAATAAATCCCAAAGTGAATCACAGAAGACCATAATCCAACCAGGAGGAATACTAGGAAGAAGTATTTAATGTTGATAGATCACAGGATATGTGGAGGTTTTGCACAAGATGCTAAACTTGTTATAAAATGTGGTACTTCATGATGGCTTGGACTTGAGAAACCCACATCAACAATATGTTCAGAATAATGGTTTGGTCTGAACATGGTTACAAGCAGCTGGTGTTCTTCTCCCAGGCCCTCGACCACATTCGTCACATTTCTTCCCAGTCTGCTTCCTGTTTCACATCTTCAGGACATCACCGCCCGCTCATTACCCAAGCATTATCTTCAGCTTTCTTTGTTCAAGAAGTCCGTCACCAGCTAGCCACTCCAGCCATTCGATCCCACCCTTGTCCCCTCACTCAAATTCATCCCTCCCAGGTGTCCAGACATTCTGTATCCCCTCCCTGAACAACATATTGAATGTACCTCCTAACCCCTTCTCTGCTCCCCAGGTCTGCTGTATCCTATGAATTCTCCATATTTCTGTCAAGCCCTATTCTTGACTGAGCCCTAACTCTGAACACAAAGATTTAACTTCATGGTTAGCAAGATAAAGTCATTAAATATTTAAGAAAACATTCAAGACTTAGAATTATCTCTTCATCTCCTCTCTGCTGTCTTTCACTCCTACTATTTTTTGTGGTCCTATTAAACTAGATGTTTGGCTTCCTCTTGAAGACCCTTTGCCCTTGTCCTTTAACCTTTGTTCACATCTTGTTATAGACCTTAAATGACTTTTCACCTATCCCCTCCGTGCCTATTTGACAAAATTCTTCATTATCTGCCTCAGTCTCCTGAGTTACTGGAACTGATTTCAGGTGTATGCCACCACTCCTGGCTAATTTTTCTATTATTGGTAGAGATGAGGTCTTGTTGTGTTGCTCTTGAACTCCAGGTCTGAAGCGATCCTCCAGCTTTGTCCTCTCAAAATGGTAGAATTATAGGTATAAGCCACATCACCCATCCAAGGGATCATTTGAGTTCCTCTAGAAAGCCATGCTCCCACCCTACCATGGGCATTTTCAGAAGCTCTTTATTATGCTCCTTCCCTCCCACTATCACTTTTGTCTGATTAACTCCTATTCTACCCTTTCAGCCTCAGGTCAATCTTCACTTCCTCAGGAAAGCCTTCCATGATTACCATTACCAGATTTGTTCCTCTATTATATGATCTTACAGAATTTCTTAGTGCTTATATTTTATTGTTGTCTCCATGACTCCCTGTTTAATAGCTTTCTCTATCATTAGTGGATAGAGCTCTATTTTGGAGGGAACTTTGTGAAATAGTACTGGCATCTAATACCTGATTTTAGTACATTGTCGTAGGGTAGGAGTTCAATATACATTTGTGGATAGAATAAATAGTCAGGGAATCA